GTTGCTGTGCATAGGTGGGTGTGAAAGATACCAACTGCAAGTTTCCAGGTGGGTGTCAGTTACAGTATTCCTAGGCAGCTGACTGTGGATACGTGGGTGGGCCATCAGGAGACCCTTGGGAGCTGTGGGAATTCTGCAGCGGCAAAAGGAAGAGGTAGGGACTTAGAAATTGCTCCACATGTAGGCACACCTGTTGGCACTGTGGGTTTCAAGGAAGTCCAGACAATAGATGGTGACAGTCTCCGCTCATAGCACCTCCCCCAAGGCCTCTTTGTTCATTGATTTTAAAACAACAGGAGGCAGGAAGCCCACACTTACAAGATCCTGGAAGTGCCCAGCTGATCCCTTTCATGCCAAGTGTGTGGAGTGTCCACTTCCTGGGAGGGAGTGGGACTGGGAGGCCTCTAGGCCCTTCCTGAGAGGTGCTCATGCAAATGAGAGGGACGTGAATGGCATACCTGTTTTTGAACTGGTCTGAGATGTGTGCATATGGGATTGAGCCCTCCTTGTCCCCCAGTAGAATTAAGGGGGCGACAGCAGTGCTGGGACCCCCAAGTAACCCCATCCCTCAAATTTCTCCCAAGTGTACCATGCCTTCGGCTGCATGCTGTGTAACCTAACTGATAGCTGGAAACCTAACTGGGGACAAGCGTAGGTTGAGTTATGTGGCTGTAAACAAAGCTGATGTGGCCATAGTGATGCTGAGAAGGAGTGAGCAGAGTGTGGGAGGGGCTGGTGCCGTGCTCTCTGCCATGCCAGGCCACACCTAAGGGCTGTGGTCAGCATCAGGCACCACCCTGCAGAAGGGAAAGTGGTGAATGGGACTTGTGCAGGAGTGATGCTCTCAGAAGGATGCTTGGGGGGCTGAAAGCAAGCCATTGAGAAATAGCTGAAGGAATGGGAAATTCCTTCTGGTTCACGGTGACACCTGCTGTCTCCACACACTGGAAAGGAATATGACTACGAATGCTCATGATAATATTAGCTGCCGTGTACTCAGTGCTCCGTGCCAAGTTCTAGTCTAAGCACTTCCCATGCAATTCTCAAATTTCTCTACAACATACATATGAATATGATCTTCATTTTTATGGAGGAGAACGCTGTAAGTGGATTGTGAATTTCATTAGAATATAATGCAATGGACCAGGTGTGGTGGCTCATGCCAGTAATCCCAGCACTTTGGGAGGCCAGGGCGAGAGGATTGCTTGAGCTCAGAAGTTTGAGACCAGCCTGGGAAACATAGTGAAACCTCATGCCTACAAAAAATAAAAGATACAAAATTAGCCAGGCATGGTGGTGCACACTTGTAGTCTCAGCTAGTTGGGATATTGAGGTGGAAGGCTCACCTGAGCCCAGAAGGTTGAGGCTGCCTCGAGTCATAATTGTCGTGATCATGTCACTGCATTCCAGCCAGGGTGACAGAGTGCGATCTCGACTCACCAAAAAAAAAAAAAAAAAAAAAAAAAAAAAAAAAGAAGATAATGCAAGGAAATGAGGTCCTTATTGCTATGAAACATAATATTCAGTAGGAGAAAGAGATTTCTCATATTATAACTCTCCAGAGAAAGGTACACATGGCTGGAGGGAAGGGAGGAAAAATAATATGTATTGAGTATCTACAGTATGCAGGACATGGCCTTGAAAGTTTCCTGTGTTGCATTTCAGTTAATCCTCACAACAACTGTGTGAGAGAGGAATGATGATTCCCATTTTACAGTTGATGAAATGGAAGCTCAGAGATGTTAATGACATTTCAGAACTTTCTTCTAGTAAGTGACAGCCCAGATTTGAATATGGGTATTTGTGGCTCCTAAGTCCATTGTCATTGCTGTTCAGAACAAAGGTGAAAGTGCATGCAGGTGGTCGTGGGGCACAGACACCAGGCTGGCTCCCCCTGCTAGACACTCCCATAATGGCCTGACTTTCACAGGCTGGGACACTCATCCCACTGGGAACTGTTTCACTGCTTGTCTTCCCTACTAGACTGCTAGGTCCACGTGGGCAGGGGCTGTACCTATCTTGTTCAGTGCTGTATTCCTTGTGCCTAAGAATATTTGAAAGAGTGAATGAATACCAGATCTCTTGTTTTGACAGGGAAAATTAAAATGATGATCACAAGTCTCCTACTGGGATGTTATAGGGAGGCTCTTGTGTTAAATCTGGAGTGAATTGTTAGTGGTTCTAATCCTGGTAGTTCAGAATTACCCAAATTATCTTTATACATATAGGCCCACATCAGACCCCTAGAATCAGAGTCTGGGAGCAGGACCTGGGCATATGTCTTTTGCATCATTCCCTGGTTTCTTTGCTACCTGGCCATGTGAGAAATCCCAGGGGATGGGTCTGAAGTCTAGCCTGAGATGCTAGGATTCCTGACCCCACTTCATCTGCCCCTGGAGCTTACTTCCATCTTCCTGCTGTCTTTGCCCAAGCTTCTTTCTACCTGCTGGGCTTCGAGGCCAGGCCATGCTTCTCCCTGGATTCTGGAAGGCGGTCTGATGTCGAGTCAGGCCTGGGACCTTATCAGCCGGGTATTTACTGAGCAAAGTTCAGTCAAGGCAGTGCTGCAGATCCGGGTTTAGCAGATACCCAGGCTTCCGGGCCTTTGATTCAGAGCCCAGGTCTCCGTGGCTCTTATCAGTGGATGATAATGGGCTCTCTATGTGAGTCCTAAGGGCTAGTGCTTCTTGCTACTCTTGGCTGACCCAGGTCTGTCCTCCAAGGGTCCAGAGCCCCTAGACCACAGGTTGTCTGGGGGGACAAATTGTCACTACCCAGCCATGGCTGCTTTTGACTTGCTGTCTCAGGCCAGGAAGGGCCCCATGCTCTGGCTCATATTTGGGCCAGTGCTTTGGTTTCCTGGCTTTAATGACAATAGGGAAAGAAAACCTTATCTCAGCAGCAAGGTGGATACCCTCTGGCCCCAGGGCACACGGATCACCATCAGGCACTTGCCCCATGTCCTGGGAGTCACAGAGAACCTGGAAGCCACTCTTCTCCATTCCAAAAGTTTAGGAGAGGTGAAGGAAAGACAGATGATAGCACATCTTAAAAAATCAACCAATTAGGCAATTGCTTTGCTAAGCTATGGTCTGGTCACATGGTTCCTGGAGCTGTGGCTGCCATGTTTCCTAGCTCTGCCCCCCTTCCCTACCTTGGGGAGGTAAATCTTCTATCTCACTCTCTTTCTCTCTAATTTACTTTCTAGCCATTGCTTTGTTAAGCTCTGGTGTGTCCACTTGGCTCTTTGAGCTATGGCTGCCGTGTTTCTTGGCTTTGGCCTTCTCCTCTACCTTGGAGAAGTGAATCTCCTCTCTCTTCTCTCTCTCTAATTTACTTTCTGAATAAACTACATTTTCCAATTTAAAAAAGAAACAAAAGAATCACCCAATTAATTAACCAACAAGTAACTACTGAGCTTAATATGGACATGCCACTGGAATGATACAGAGATGGTACAATATCTCACCTTGAGAGGTTTATAATCTGGGGCATAAGACATTTGCACCAAAAAGGATAACTAATTATTACATACATGGATGACTAAAAACTTATTGAATGCTTACTATGTCCCTGATTTTATATGAAGCATATACTGTGCAGTAAGTTCTCTACATACGAACCTTCAAGTTGTGAACTTTCAAATATGCAGCATTCACATGCCCAATCATGTAAGTTAGTTCACGTGTCTGGCATACATTGTCACATGCGTGCATCCTCTACAAGTGGTTGTGCTTTTGTGTACTTTCCTGTACAGTACTGTATAGATCACAATAACACAGTATCTTTATTTCAAGCCCAGGATGTCTGAAAGCAAATATAAAGGCATCAGTGATGTAGCTGGTACTGTATGTATGGCTGATTGTGTTAGTTGGGTACCTAGGCTAAGTTGGTTGGACTTACAAACAAGTTGAATTTAAATACATACTCTCGGAATGGAGCTCATTCATATTTAGGGGACTTACTGTACTTTCCATTGATTACATGAGGTAACGCCTCACAACATTTCTTTAATAAAGACATTTCAAGCCTGGGCACAATGGCTCAAGTCTGTAATTCCAGCATTTTGGGAGGCCGAGGCGAAAGGATTGCCTGAGTTCAGGAATTTGAGACCAGCTTGGGCAATTTGGTGAGAACTTGTCTCTACAACAAATAATAATAATAAGAAAACCAACCAACCAACCAACAAACAAACAAATAAAAAAACTAGCCGGGCATGGTGGTGTGCATCTGTAGTTCCAGCTACTTGGAAGGCTGAGGCGGAAGGATTGCCAGAGCCCAGCAGGTCGAGGCTATGGTGGCCGTGAGTGTGCCACTGCACTCCAGCCTGGTGACACAGTGAGACTCCAACTAAAAAAAAAAAAAATACACTGCAAATTCAGAGGCACAGAGGGGTTTAGTAACTTGCCAGGGATCACACAGCTAGGTTGTGGCAGGGGCAGGATTTGAGGCCTGTGGTACCTGACTCAGGGTCCTGGCTCTGACTGCTGTCCTCTACTGCCACCTATGATGATATTGATCAGATCTGGAAGTGTTTGAGAGGCTGTAGGAGGTAGTAATTCCACAGAAGGGTTTTGGGTCAGAAAGAATGAAGAGGTTGAAAGAGGTGAGAGAGAATTCTAGTCATGGAAAACATCAAGTAAAGGTGAGGAGGTGAGACATGCAGGAAACATGTAGACCAGTAGACAGGCCTGCTGGTCGGAGTCAGGGTTTATGTGACGGGGGCCATGCAAAGTGGTTAGAAAAATGGGTTCAGCTCTCATTCTACAGGCCATTCAGTTCCAGGCCAAGGAGCTGGGCCTTCATTGTCTGAGTGCAGGGGAACTGTAGAAACCTTGGAGCGGGCAGGGTGGCCATTCCGGGAGAACGATTCTAGGGAGTCTCAAGTGTTCCTCTGTGATCAGGCACAACTAAGGAGAGCGGGCAGGTCTGGGAGGAAACAGGGACCTTGGGGCAGGGGCTTGTCTGGGAAGGACCACGGGCTCCATTGCTTTTCACAGCCACAGCTCCAGAACAGGCCCCGGCCCGGCCGTACCAGGGAGTCCGTGTGAAGGAACCGGTGAAGGAACTGCTGAGGAGGAAGCGCGGCCACGCCAGCAGCGGGGTGGCGGCTGCACCCACTGCGGTGAGGGGGCTGCTGCGGCCAGGGCGTGAGTGTGTGTGTGAGTGTGTGTGTGTGTGTGTGTGTGTGTGTGTGTGTGTAGGTGTGTGTTTGTGTGAGTGTGTGTGAGTGTATGTATGTGAGTGTGCTTGAGGGTGTGAGTGTATGTGAGTGTATGTGTGTGAGTGTGTGTGAGCATGTATGCGAATGCGTGTGAGTGTATGTGTGTGAGAGTGTGTGTATGTGTAAGTATATTAGACTGTGTGTGTGTTTGTGTGTGGGTGTGTGGGTGTATGTGAGTGTGTGAGTGTACGTGAGTATATTTGTGTGGGTATATGTGTATGTGTGTGTGAGTTTATGTGTGTGTGTTGTGTATGTGTGTGTATGCGAGTGTGTGTGTGTATGTGTATGTGTATGAGTGTTTGTGTGAATGTGTGTGAGTGTATGTGTGTGAGTACGTATGTGAGTGTGTTTGAGTATGTGTGTATGCGAGTGTATGAGTGTGTGTGAGTGTATTTGTGTGAGTGTATGTGCGTGTGAGTGTGTCTAAGTGAGTGTATGTGTGTGAGTGTGTGAGTTGTGTATGTGTGGGTATATGTGTGCGAGTGTGTTTATGTGTGAGCGTATTTGGGTAGAGTGTGTGAATGTATGTGTGTGAGTGTATGTGTGTGTGAGTGAGCATATGTGTGTGTGTGAATTGTGTATGTGTGAGTGTATGTGTGTGAGTTGTGTATGTGTGAGTGGATGTTTGTGAGTGTGTGAGTTGTGTATGTGTGAGTGTGTGTGTGAGTGTATGTGTGCGAATGTGTGTGTGAGTGTGTGTGTATGTGTATTGTTAGTGTGTGTGTGTGGGGGTGACCAAAGGGGCCAGGCAGGAAGGAGTGTGCTTCCTTGCTCCTTGGGTACCAATGGGGGCACAAGGACAAGTTGCCTGGCGATGGCTGCTAGAGACAGAACTAGAGTGGAACAAGTCGTTGGTTCCTTGACTTGGGATGAGGGGTGTGGGCTCACTAGCTGGGCCCGTCAAACAAAGCCATTGCCAAGGCCTGAGTAAGAAGATGACTCACGTACTCCGGTGTGAGTTGGAGGCTCCCGTGGGAAGAGGAAGATGCCAGCTCCCCGGTGCACAGCCTTCTTGCTAAATGGAAACACATATCCCTCAAAAGTGTAGGTGATGATGGTTGGGGTAGGGGCGGGTGATTTGTTCTAACAAGGGCGGTTCCTGCCCTGGCCCCTCCTGCCCTGGCCCCTCGGGCGCCGTCCCTGCATAGGGCTGGTTGGAAAGAGCTAAACACCCACCCTGGTCTTCTCCCCCCTCTAGGTGGTGCTGCCTCACCAGCCCCTGGCGACCTACACCACAGTGGGTAAGAGCCCTGCAGCCTTGGTCTCCTGCTGGCCTCTCATCTGGTGGCACCTGCAGTTCTGACATTTCTTTCATCCCACAGGTCCTTCCTGCCTGGACATGGAGGTCTCTGCTTCTGCCGTGACGGAGGAGGGCGCCCTGTGTGCTGGCTGGCTCTCTCAGCCTCCCCCAGCCACCCTCCAGCCCCTGGCCCCATGGACGCCCTACACCGAGTATGTGTCCCATGAAGCCGTCAGCTGCCCCTACTCAGCTGACATGTATGTGCAGCCCGTGTGCCCCAGCTACACAGTAGTGGGGCCCTCCTCGGTGTTGACCTATGCTTCCCCGCCACTCATCACCAATGTCACGGTATGTCACACAATGTCAGAGCTGCACCCGCCCACGCTAAACCCACCCTTTTAGACCCAAAGCTGACTTACGGAGTACTGATCCTCCTTGCTATTGATTCCTGGGTCATCGGGTTATCTAAGCCCACCTCGTCCTCCAGGGAGGCCTGCTTTTATTCCCGTTGACCTCAAATATTTTCCACAAAGATGTCTCACAGCCTCTCTGGTCACATCTTATGCTCCTCGGGGCTGTGTCCTGAGAGCAAACTGCTAGAGTCATTAGGGGCAGAGCTCTTCCTGACTTTCTGGGGATCTTGTTACAATACAGATTCTGGTACGGGAGGTCTGATATGGGGCCTGGGATTCTGCATGTCTATTCGGGTCTCAGGGGACACCCATGTGACCACATGGGAGTAGCGAGGCATTAGAGTGCTTGTATGGTCTTCTGTTCCTCTGTCTTAAGTCTCCCCAGCTATCCCGCAAGCAATGAGTCTTGGCTTCAAGTTGAAGACTTCAGTGAATGGGGTATCAGGTGAGGCCCGTGTGGGGTCCTGCCCCCGAGCCAGTCTTTCCTTTCTATTCCGATAACTTAAGACGATCGTTCACTTAATAATGGAAATTTAACACAATTTCTAGACTGAGCAACAGGTGATAACAACTTTTCAGAGAACTGTATCTCTGGTGGAGTCTATAGGGTGATTTAAAAAAAAATTCTATCTCCACTGTTAAGAATGCCTGTGTTCAAATCCCCAACCTTTCACTTACTAGCTATGTGACCCTGGGCTTAGTGACTTAATCTCTCTGAGCCTCTGTGTCCTCACTGTAAAATGGGAATACTAGTAAAAGGACTGTTGTCAGGATCAAATGAGATAATGCTTGTGGAGGGCTTAGTCCAGTTTCTGGCATACAAAAGCATTCCATAAGTGTTAGTTATTATCAGTATATCAAAGTCAGTCAACAACATGAACCAAGGGCCAGATGGGAAAGGAAGGGACTCTTCCCCCAGGAATGGAGGAAGAGAGATAGCTTTATGTTAATGGTGCCCATGGACCAAAGGAATGGGAATCTCTCAGGTTGTCTAGGGGTGAAAAGGCCTGTGGTTACAGTTTTATACAACTCAGACCCAGAGAAATCATGGGAAGTAGAGCTGGGCCTCCAGGAGTCCCAGAGCCCACCCTCCATGTTGGAGCTTTCTTTGGCTCCCCTTGTCTCTTCTGTTTCCCTCCAGGGCCCACGGTCCTTGTGACGCACCTGCCCCCTGCCTCCAGGAACCTCTAGGCAAGGCTTGCAGGAACCCCAGGCCCACCTGGTTACCCAGCAAACCAACTGTGGGGCCTGGATGGCGTGGATAGAAAGGAGTTAATTCAACACCTCTCCCAGGCAACTCATTTCCGTATCAAGGGGCCCAGTGGGCTTGGAGGTGGAGGACAACATGGTTCCCAGCCATTTCCTTGCTAAGGATTTCTTTTGTTATTTATCCCCTTTCATCATCCCCATCTTCTACTTTGAAAGGTTCTGTGTATCAAACAAACTGTATTTATTAAGGAATAATTTATTTGTTTTGCCATTTTGTAAATTAACTCATCAAAGCTGGCTAGAGCTATAAGTCAGCACTCCTGATCAGCAGAGATAAGACCTGTTGTGGGGCTGGGTTGATGTAATTCTATACCTGAGCAAAGAAATCTGCAGTTTGCAGTTGACCTGTGTGGGTTTATGACTCGAAAAGGTAGGAGTTCCATTTCGAGTTTTGAACAACTGGAAATAAAAAAGCTTTCCCAGATTCTTTCTAGCTTCAAGACATAGGGTTGGGGACCACTGGCTTACAGGACATTGGGTTGGGGACCACTGACTTATAGGATACTGGGTTGGGGACCACCGGCTTACAGGACACTGGGTTGGGGACCACCGGCTTACAGGACACTGGGTTGGGGACCACTGGCTTACAGGACACTGGGTTGGGGACCACTGGCTTACAGGACATTGGGTTGGGGACCACTGGCTTACAGGACACTGGGTTGGGGACCACTGGCTTACAGGACACTGGGTTAGGGACCACTGGCTTACAGGACACTGGGTTGGGGACCACTGGCTTACAGAACAATGAATTGGGGACCACTGGCTTACAGGACACTGGGTTGGGGACCACCGGCTTACAGGACACTGGGTTGGGGACCACTGGCTTATAGGACATTGGGTTGGGGACCACTGACTTACAGGACACTGGGTTGGGGACCACCGGCTTACAGGATACTGGGTTGGGGACCACTGGCTTACAGGACACTGGGTTGGGGACCACTGGCTTAAGCCAAAGGAGAGGAAGAGGAGAGGAAGTAGTTGTGTTGTGGTGGGATGTTTGAAGACTGGAAGGCCTCTGAGACTCCTTCCATCTCCATTATTCTGTGGAGAAACATCCTCATGCCTTGCCACTCAAATGTGGCCACATTGGTATCCCCTGAGACCTGATTAGACACGTAGAATCCCAGGCCCCAATTCAGACCTGCTGTACCAGAATCTGTTTTGTAACAAGATCCCTAGAAGGTTAGAAAGAGCTCTGCCCCAAATGACTCGAACAGTTTGCTCTCAGGACACAGTGACAACAGAGAGAGATAAGACAGAGGAGTGGGGATGATAGGGGAAGATTCTGGCCTCTCTCACAACAACCCTGCAGAGAATTCCTCTTCTACCTGCTTTCCTCAACTGTGAAAGAATGGTAAGCATGCAGCCCCTGCTTCACTTGCAGGCGTGACCTGAGGTTTGAGAGAGTGGTTGCTAAGCAAGTGAGAGGTGTGCTTTGTAGAGCACGAGAGCGAATGGCCCTGACCTTTGGAGGGTCATGGGGGGTCTATGGGGTGGGGCAGCCATGGAGGAAGGACAGCTCAGAGCCAGAGGAGGATGAGGATGTGGAAGGCACCAGGCAGCAGCAGGGAAGAAGGCAGTGATTTCCCTGTCTGAGTATGGTGCGGCCTCCCTGTCACCATCACCACCAGAGGGGTGAGAGGGTGGCGCTGTGTTGGCCCCCAGGGACCTTAGGAAGACGAAGCTGCTGTGTGAAGCCAGGACTGTCTTTGTATCTGGGCAGGGCAACAACCTTCTAGATATAGCCATTACTTACTGTGTATTTATTTTCATAGATTTTAGGATGCACATCTTTTGCACTTTTTAAGACCTCTGAAATAGGAATGTTTTTTTCCCCCTCCAAATTTTCTTTTTAAATTTTTAAAAGAATTTTAAAGATGTGGGGTGGATTAGGTATACAAATGGTCATTGTACAGGTAAAGTTTGGGCCTTCCATTGGCCCCCATTTTGCCTGGTTTGAGATCAGGTACCCTTATGGATGTTGTGTCTTCCCCCCACCCCACCCTGGCAATATCCAGCTACTGCCAATCCCCTTCTTATAGTATTATGGTAAATATTCAGGGTCCATTTATGAGTAAAAACATGTGGTACTCAGTTCTTTGTTCTGTGATAAATCACTGAGTATTATAGACTCTAAATCCATCCAAGTTGCTGAGAAGTCCTTATGTTTGTCCTTCTTTGTGGTTGTGTAATATTCTATCACGTATATGTACCACATTTTAAAAAATCCAGTTCAGTTTTGATGGGCAGCACGGTTGGTTCCATGTTTTTGCTATAGTGAATAGTGCTGCAATCAACATGCATGTGCAGGTATCTTTTTTGTAGAATGATTTGAGTTCCTCCAGATATATTCCCAGAAGGGAGATGGTTGGGTCATATGGAAGATCAATTTCTAGTTCTTTTAGGAATTGCCACACTTTTTCATAGAGGTTGAAGTAGTTTGAGGAATGCATTTTGTATTTGACAAAACCTGGAAAAGCCGGGCTCAGTGGCTCAGCCTGTAATCCCACGCTTTGGGAGGCTGAGGTAAGTGGATTGCCTGAGCCCGTGGGTTCGAGAGCCGCCTGGGCAACTTGGCGAGACCTCATCTCTACAATAAATAAAAAAATGAGCCGGGCGTGGTAGCACCCGTCTGTAGTTTCAGCTACTTGGAAGGCTGAGGCGGAAGGATCGCCAGAGCCCAGCAGGGCGAGGCTGCGGTGGCCAGGAGCGTGCCACTGCACTCCAGTCTGGTTGACAGAGTGAGACTCCAACTCAAAAAAAAAAAAAAGAAAAAGAAAAAAACAACCCTGGAAAGTCCTCTAGTTCGCTTAGCCCTTTGACTTCATTACTATTCATATTCTATTTTGTAGATGAGAAAGATGAGGTTTCCAAGAGGGAAGCAACATGAGCAAAGACAGATAGCTAGTAAGTGACACAGAGAGGGGTACAGTTGACGTTTGTCTGGGAGATTCTCCCTTGGGGGAGACTTTGAGCAAGAGAAGACAGAGCTCCCTGAAGTGAGAAGCCAGGAAGGCAACGTTGAAGGAGGAAATGGAGACCCCTCTGAGGGCAAGGACGGGCAGGTGGGCATCCTGGCTGTGCTAACCCTTGGTCCTATGTTTCTCCATCACAGACAAGAAGCTCCGCCACGCCCACAGTGGGGCCCCAGCTGGAGGGCCCGGAGCACCAGGCACCGCTCACCTATTTCCCATGGCCTCAGCCCCTTTCCACGCTGCCCACCTCCACCCTGCAGTACCAGCCTCCGGCTCCAGCCCTGCCTGGGCCCCAGTTTGTCCAGCTCCCCATCTCTATCCCCGAGCCAGTCCTTCAGGACATGGAAGACCCCAGGAGAGCTGTCAGTTCCCTGACCATCGACAAGCTGCTTTTGGAGGAAGAGGATAGCGACGCCTACACGCTCAACCACGCTCTGTCTGTGGAAGGCTTCTAGGGCTGGCTCTCACCTGAGAATCCTATTCCCTAAAACTGGGATTTAAAAATGGGCCTGGGATGGAGCTCTGGGTTCATATCTGTTTGGAGTAGCCACTTCATAACTACAGTTTGAAGCTAGAATTGTAGACCCCCTTCTCTCCCCTCCCCTTGCTCTCTTCCTTCCTCCCTTCCTTCCCTCTCTTCCCTCCTTCCTCCTGCCTTCCTTCTCCCCCTTTCTTCCCCACTTCCTCACACTCTCTCTCTTTCTTATTTCTTCTTCCAAATTCTTTTCCTTTTGGGCACAGAATTGGGGATTTTAGAGATGTAGTTTTATGCCAAATGTTGCCAAGTCTGTGGCCCAAGGACTTTCCTTTCTGTCATGTTTCATTCTTCAGAGAAGTCTCCTTCTCTCCAGTGCCTCCTGAATGGTCTTAGGGCCGGTCACACCCTTTGCCATTTTGAGGTGCGTAGGGTGGCCCAGGGGAAGACCAGCCCTGACAGCGCCTCCTGAGAAAGGCAGCTGAGAGCAGACCCGATGCCAGAGTCCTTGAGCTGCTATTCTCATTTGTTTGCTATTCTCAACGTTGGCCTGATTTACAGTCAGTGCAACAAAATCTCAAGGCCTGGGGCTCAGAATAGTGATGGGTGGGGTGGGGGAGGAAAAGGAACATGGGGTGAGTAGGGGCAGGTCAGTGACAGGGGAGAAGGATGGAGGAGGGTGTGTCTGTGGTTGGAGGGGGAGGTTATGGGGGAAAGCTCAGGCTTCATGGGGGAGAGGGGGATGACTGGGGAATGATTAAGAACCAGATTACTTGATTATTGTGAACAATAAACTTAAGAAAAGCATGGCTTTAATAGGTAGTTTTGCTGCTGTCCTTGAGGATACTTGCAAGGAAAGCGGAGCTGTTGTAAAAAGGATGAACAATGTGTATGGCCATTCTGTCCTAACTGCAGACACCGTGTGGAGGCCAAGACCCTTTGAAGCCTAACAGTGACAGAGTCTTTGCTTAGTGGGTTTCTTTAATGTCTTTCAAGTATCCATAAACCATCATTCTGTGGAGACAAGGTCTCTTCTATCCAAGCACTATTCCTCCTGGGGACTTCTAGAGCCTCAGCCAGAAGTCCCAATTGGTTTCACTTCAATTTTTATTTTTTGCTGGAGAAACATCAGATTTGTAGAGGACTGAGCCATTGTTACCAGGGGTACTTAGCTCCTGAAAGGGGTGTGTGCCTTGGGAACTGCCATATTCATCTGCTAATAACACCATCGTCACTATCAAGCAGACACTTTCCTTGGTAGTATCCATGTAGGACTAACGGACTTTTCTGGAAAATGACGGCTTCTTTGACACATATTCTTTGCCCCTTTTAAAATAAAAAAAGTTCTGGATGAAGTTGCCTGCTTTGGATTTTTTTTCCTGCTTAGGGTTTATTATTTTATTTTATTTTATTTGAGTTGGAGTCTTACTCCATCGTCCAGGCTGGAGTGCAGTGACACACTCATGGCCACCCCAGCGTTGACCTGCTGGGCTCCAGCGATTCTTCTGCCTCAGCCTTCCGAGTAGCCGGAACTACAGGCGCATGTTGTCATGCCCTGCTAATTTTTTGATTTATTATAGAGACGAGGTCTCACCAAGTTGCCCGGGCTGGTCTTAGGGTTTATTTTTGGCCTATATTTCTTTTTATATTTGCCTAAAATCCTAGTACCCATACCTTGGATTATTTTATTCAGATTCATTTTTTAGATTTAAAAGATAGCATTTGAGATGATAAATTTACATCTTTGCTGATATGATAGTGAGTAGGAAAGGGGGGGTTCTTAGTCTTGTTTAAAGCCCTGGCCTCTCATAAAGCACACTATGTTTTAGGCAAGATTTTTCAGCTTACTGTTTGAGGATTTGACAGGATGCAGAGGCAACCTGCACAAATAAGTTAAAGTTGCAAAAACTAGCCAAGAAATAAAATGCTTTACATATTTGCTAAGATCTAAATGGTCTCTTTTTCCCCCTCTTATCTTGAGGTCACATGTCTTGGTTGTAGTAGTCCGCCTAGGTTTCTTCCTGGGTTATTTTTCTAAGCTGGAAACATTTTCAACAAAGATCTATAGAGACTTTTCTGTGCCAAAGTGTTTCATTTCTTATCAAATTAATTCCCCTTAGCTTTAAAATTAATCCCTTAGGCATGTTAGACATTGTCCCTGGAGGAAGGCGCTTACACGCGTCTTGTTGATTTTACAAACTGATCTGTTGCAGGAGAAGATAAAACCAGGCCCACTGTGGCTGCCGTCTAGTTCTCCTGAGCTGTATCTGCACATGGCCAGTGGGGCTTGCTTTCCAGGAGACTGGTGATTTGAGGAGGGGAAGGAAATTTTTTAAACTCATTTACTTGTCCTGTTATTCATGTTATGTGAATAACTTCTCATGATGCTGGGTGTCCAGGGATAAGTTGAATCATTGGTATTTCCACAGCAGGCTCTGAAAATCCACCAGTCAGGACCCAGAAGTGACACCATGTAGGGACCAGGCCCAAAGGAAGCCATCTCATAGGGTCAAACATCACATGAACATTCACAAAGCTGGTTGGTTCTCTCCAAGACCACTCCTTGATGTGAGCAACAGTTTAGAGAGGGTCTCCTTTTCTTGATTATTTTCTTTCTTTTTTTTTTTTTGAGTTGGAGTTTCACTCCGTCACCCAGACTGGAGTGCAGTGGCTGCTCCCGGCCATCGCAGCCTTGACCCACTGGGTCTGGCGATCCTTCCACCTCAGCCTTCTGAGTAGCCGGAATTACAGGCGCGCGCTACCACACCCGGCTGATTTTTGATTTATTGTAGAGATGAGGTCTCGCTGCCCAGGCAGGTCTTGAACCCCTGGGCTCAGGCAATCCACTCACCTCAGCCTCCCAAAGGCACGGGGTTACAGGCTGAGCCACCGAGCCTGGCTTCTTGGTTATTTTCTGAGTTACTAAAGGCCTCTGAGCTCACTGTCTTCATTGTTAATCTTTGTTGGGTAATTGTTTTTAAATTATCCACATTACTCAGCTCTGTTTCTTATTTCCAGATTTTGGGGGACAGTAGCACACCCAGTTATTTAGCTCACTTTAGAGTACCAGCACTATTATCATTTTGGCTCTCATCTTCCATGTAGATCATAACCTAGAGAAAAGGCATGAATGAAAAGAGAGTTAAGGTTTTTTTCTCCCACCTTAGTGAATCTCAACTAAAAAAAAAAAATGGTTAAAAATGCTTTTTGCCCTATCTACTCTCTTTTGAGGTAGATGTATGAACAATCAGCTGGGTATAGATTTGTGCTAGAAGATTCTAATCTATGAGGCAATCCACTTCCAGCATGAAATGGGGGAACGAGGAGGAGACAGGTGTGTGGTAAGATGAAGAAGCCAGACTTTTAGAAAATAACAAAATCACACAACCAAGTGGCTTAAATTTTCTGAACATCAGGCTGCACCCATCTTTAAGTGAAAGTTTGGAGACATATTCTAAAGCTAAACATGACTTTCTGGAAATCAGAAACTTTCGATAACTTCTTTTGATCAACTTCATTTGAGTGTCAGATATGAGGCACTCAGTACTTTCTTGTTGAATTGAATTAATTTGAGAGATTCTCTATCCATTGCTTCTAAATATTGATATAGATGCTTATAAGTTAGTTATAATAATGGAGTCTACTTTCACTATTGTGAACAATGATGCAACTCACAGCGGAGTGCAGACATATCTTAGACAAACTGATTTCAAATCCTTTGAGTAATTACCTAGAAATGGGATTGCTGGATCGTAGGGTAATTCTATTTTAGCTTTTTGATGAAACTCCAGACCATTTTCCATAAAGGTTGTACTTAATTTATAAAAGGGTCCCCCCCGCCCCGTTTTCAAAGTCTCACTCTGTGAGAGTCAAAGTCTAACTCTGTGGCCCAGGCTGCAGTGCAGTGGTATGCATATGGCTATCACAGCCTTGGCCTGCTGGGCTCAGATGATCCTTCCGCCTCAGCCCTCCAAGTAGCTGGAACTACAGGCATGCACCATTATGCCCGGCTATATGTTTTTGATTTATTGTAGAGATAAGGTCTTGTCAAGTTGCCAAGGTAGGTCTCGAACCCCCTAGGTGAGAGGCAATCCTTTCACCTCTGCCTCCCAAAGAACTGGGATTATAGATGTGAGCTACCATGTCTGGCAAGGGTTCCCTTTTTTTCACATCCTTGCCAATACTTGTTATCTTTTGTCTTTTTGATAATAGCCACTCTGACAGATGTGAGATGATATCTCATTGCATTTCCCTAATGATTATCAGTGTTGAATTTGCATTTCCCTAATGATTATCATTTTTAAAAAATAGATCTGTTGGCCATCAACACATATTTATTGAGTACCAACTCTGAGTTCGGCAGGCATTGTGGATTATTACAGATGTCTGCTTTGAAATAGTTTTCTAGCTCAATGATCTCTTTTCAATGTGAATATTTATTCTTATATATGTATATTTAGTTACTTATAAATTGTATCCTTGAAGTATTCTATTAATACAATATCCATTATAAAACATTCACAATATTAGGAATTTGAAAAGATGAGGTAAATATAAAATAAATAACATTTTAAATTACTTCATTTATTAACAGTACAAAAATCTATTTGACCTCATTAACTATAAGTAATATTTAGAATCTTTGTGATAGACTGATTTGAAGATCTGGATTTAACTTCAATTGATTTCAGTACTTTGAATGGATGCCATAGCTGGAAAAGATACCACACAAAAATATTTAGGTCAACATAAAATAGTGTATTATTAGCTGTGCTAAATAAACTAAAAATTATTTAAAATTTCCATTCATCAATTATGCAAAGGTGTTATTTTAAAATTTGGTTTGTGAGTTTCCCTTTTAGTTGATATCAACTGGTCTTGCAAACTCAAAACTTGAAAGTGTTGCCTTTTTATATTTTTAGCTCCTTGAGTTAAAAACACTCAAAACCTTTATTTGGAAAGACTGTAAACAAGCTAAAAATTAGACATCCATGTAAAAAAAAGACTGAAGACCAGAGTTTTTATAGGTGACACACCTATATTGTTGTTAACGAGAATATCACATGATGGAGACATAACCAGGCACCTACTAAACTTCCACTTTTCAAATGGTCTCACCATTGCACAAATTTCAAAAAGCATCACTAAAATGT